CCTGCAGATCAGATCCTTCCGCTTTAGACCCCTGAGGCCATTCACCGCTTACGGTGAAAGTTCAGGAAAGGGCCACTGCATGGAGTGTGTGCATTAGAGATTTTGTAATACAGATCAGACAGCCACATATGTTTATGGGGACCCCCTGCAGCAACCCAGATCACCCCCATACCAACCCCAGATCACCCCCATACCAACCCCATACCAACCCCAGATTGGATCGTTCTGCTTTAGACCTCATGAGACCATGCTCAGCTAGTGTTGGTTATGAAACTGTTAAAGGGCCACTGCATGGAGTGTGCACATTGAAGTTTTACAAAACAAAAATCAGACAGCCCCACATATGTATATGGGGACCCCCTGGAGCAATCTGGATCACCCCCATACCCCAGATCACATACTTCTGTTTTAGATCTCATGAGGCCATGCTCAGCTCATGGTGGTCCTGCAAATGGTAAAGGGCTACTGCATGGAGTGTGCTTTTAAAGTCTGTGGGGGACCCTCCCCCGCCCCCTAGAGCAGCCCAGATCACCCCCATGTCTGCTGATCAGATCCTTCTGCTTCAGACCCCCTGGGGCCATGCTCAGCTCTTGGTGGTCGCCAGTCAGGGAAGTGTTCTCCGGTCAGTGAAGTGTTGAAGGGCCACCGCGTGGAGTGTGTGCAGTGAAGTTTTGCAAAACAGATCAGGCAAGCCCCCAAAAGTCAATGGGGGACCCCCTTCCTAGAGCACCCCATTTCTACAAATCAGATCCTTCTGCTTCAGACCCCCTGAGGCCATGCTCAGCTCATGGTGATGAATGGTCAGCGAAGTGTTAAAGGGCCACTGCATGGAGTGTGTGCGCTGAAGTTTTGCAAATCACAGCAGGCAGCCCCAAAAGTTGGTGGGAACACCCCCAGAGTGAGCCCCATACCTGCAGATGTGAGCTGGATCCCGGGAGATGGAGCGTTATCTGGGCTCGGTGGGATCCTCTCTCATTCTGTGCCCGATCCCAGCGTGCAGACCTCGCTCTCATTTATATCCACAGGCGATGTGATCCCGGTCGGTGCCCTTCTATAGGGAGGGGGGGTCAGATCTGCATTCCCCTGCACAGCGCAGGCACACCGAGCTCCGCAATGCTCTGCAGCCGGGGAGCGTCTGAAAAGAGCCGAGCGCGGCCGCCCGCTAAGGCACCGTCATGCGGGAGACCAATGGCTGTGTGTGGGATGGGAGGGAGCGCCGGCCTCTGATTGGAGGAAAAGATCGCACATTCTTTAACCCTCACAGCGCCGGCCGCCCGCCGAGCCCACACCGGAACACAGCGGCCGGGATTTTTTCCACTGGACGGAAACGGTTAATGAGAGTTCTGCCGTGGAAAAAAAAAGTTACCAGAGAGATAAAAAAGAGTTTAAAGTAAAAGATACATTGTAATTGTTTTGTGTGTTTGATACATGGCGATGTCTACCTGGAAGAAGCTTTGTCTGGAAGATTCGGGAGGGCAGAGATCCCCCCCCACCCCCCCACACACACCTTCTCACTAAAGGAAGGCCAAATCTGGAGGTGCCCCAGTGTTCAATGTACAAAAACGTATAGAAAAGAAATGTGGCGCTTCCAGAACCTATCCTGGGCCCTTACCCCACATAGGAGTCTGGATGTGGCCCTTCCAGAATACATACTGGACCCTTACCGCACATAGGAGTCTGGATGTGGCCCTTCCAGAACCCATACTGGACCCTTATCCCACATAGGAGTCTCATATCAGTGTCCCCCTTCACATCGGAGTCCCCTTCACATCTGAGAATCTCATCACATCAGTGGCCCCTTCACATCAGAGAATCTCATCACATCAGTGTCCCCTTCACATCAAGTGTCCTCTTCACATCAGTGTCCCCTTCACATCAGAGAACCTCATTACATCAGTGTCCCCTTCACATCAAGTGTCCTCTTCACATCAGTTCCCCTTCACATCAGAGAACCTCATCACATCAGAGTCCCCTTCACATCAGAGAACCTCATCACATTAGTGTCCCCTTCACATCAAGTGTCCTCTTCACATCGTTCCGCTTCACATCAAGTGTCCTCTTCACATCAGTGTCCCCTTCTCATCAGAGAACCTCATCACATCAGTGTCCCCTTCACATCAGTGTCCCCTTCACATCAGAGTCCCCTTCACATCAGAGAACCTCATCACATCAGTGTCCCCTTCACATCAAGTGTCCTCTTCACATCGTTCCGCTTCACATCAAGTGTCCTCTTCACATCAGTGTCCCCTTCACATCAAGTGTCCTCTTCACATCAGTTCCCCTTCACATCAGAGAACCTCATCACATCAGAGTCCCCTTCACATCAGAGAACCTCATCACATCAGTGTCCCCTTCACATCAGAGTCCTCAGTCCAGTCCCTCCTTGCTTGAGACAGTGGCGTCACAAGGGGGTGCGGCATACCTCATCCCACCGGGTGAATGGCTTTTTTGCTCTGTCTGCCGGCGTCCATCACCAAGATGGCCGCCGGCAGCGTTAATTAGATGACTGCGCATGCGTGATGACGCCAGGCCTCGGGACGCCCCTGGCTTGAGAGCCCCCCTTCACACCAGAGTCTCCCCAATTTCACAACAGAGTTTCCCCTTCACTACATGGTCCCCCCTTAAAATCAGAGTCCTCAGTC